AATTACATTTAAAAGTGTGCACCAATTAGCTTCAGGCCTTCACTGTAATACTTTTTCTTGCTTTGGGAATCATGCTGTCAGACAATGTTGATATCAAAGCATATTAACTACCTAATTAAATAAAGGATGATTGTTTAGTGTCATCGTATAGTGAACATTTATCCATCTTGTAAGTAAAGGTGCAACAACAATGAACTACAGTTGATTCATATTTTTTGTAAAAACTAATGCGCCCCTTTATCTGTGAACACCAAAAATAATGATAGATACGCAGATAGTTATCTTTCAGAACCTTTGACAATACTTTCTTAATAGATATGCAGCATGCATCAATGAAAACCAACTTTAAAATAATCAATGATTTTACATAATAGGCAAAATGTAAATGAATGAACTTTAAATGATTGTGTCCTTTCAGCTCATTGACCACCTTCTGGCAGGAATAGAGGATGTGGTTGGTTACTGGGGGCAGCACTACTGGAAAGACAAGTTAGTTTTTCTTGTTTTACATTGACTTTACAGTTTATGTGCGGCAGGTGTTTCTCCTAAAGTTATATTATGTAAGACCTGGTATGGTCAATAGGTGGCAGCAAATACCTTATGCAAAAGTTCCTGACCATTTCTTACTGAAAGGACTACTAATAATGTCAAATGACGACTGACATGTACTTTATGTGTGTTTGTTAGGTTTGAGCAGTTCAATAAGAAGTACCTTTGTCGTTTCCTGATCCGTGACGATCACCAGGCCCGCTCCAGCATCCTCAGAGTTTACCAGGAGCTGGAGAGAAGGGAGCAGAGGGGAGACGAGGAGGCCCCCCCGCCAGTGTGAGACAACATGTTTTTACTTTATGTCAGAGTCTCTTGTATAAGGCTTAGGGATCCCTTAATCTTAAGGATTTCCTTAAAGAGTGGGGGCATACAAACTGAGAAGAGTGAAGACCATGATTGGAATCTGTGTTTGTTCATATCTTTAAAAAAGTTTCAACAATTGCTTATTCCTTACAACATTATGTTAATGTATTTCTTTATTATTATTTTGTATGTATTTAACCTTTATTTAACCAGATAAAAAGCATTGAGATAGAATCTCATTTACAATGCTGACCTGGCCAAGAAGGCAGTAACATTACACATTATTACACATAACACAGACATATAAAATACAGAGAACACAACTAAGTAAACAAAAACACGAAAAGCAGTTTGAAAGTGAACGTTAACATAATCTCCACCATAGCTTTTTTCTTACTTAAACCCCCATTCATGGCACTGAACATTGATGAAATATCGGTTTTCTCAACACAGTTTTTGGCTAAATGGATCTTAATAATCACTGCTCACTTTTAGAGTGGACCCCCGCTCCCACAGCCGCCCCCTCTTGCCCGAGGAGATGGAGAGCATCCGGCGTATTCTCTCAAGAAACCTTCAACACTTCAATAACATGGTAAATTCACAGCTTTGGTTCGATGAAGAATTAACTGAACATGCACTATAGGTATGTGCTATTCATCTGCTGTTGGTGTGTGCTTGTGTGGTCCCTCCAGCAGAGACCGGCCTACAGCAGACACACTTTGCACCAGGACGCCACCATGGGCCGAGCGAGGAAGCCTCTCCACAGACACCAGAGTCTGGGAGAAAGATGCACGTATAACACTCAGGTACTGTATCCATGAAAACACAAATTGAATTTTTCTTAAAGCAAGTGAACATTTCAGCAAATTGAGTTACTGTCACCATTCAAAAGTCACGTAAGATTTAGTCAATTGAAAAACATAAATGATTGAATCCTTACTAATGTCCCAGAATAGTTTACAGAGATCCTTTAAAAGCAACTACATATTGTTTGCTAATGTATTTCTTTATGAATCACTTGAGAAAGAAAGATTAAAGAAAGACAGTGACATGTATCCATTATTCCTGTTAAGAAAACCATTTCACTCGAGGAAAATTATCAATACGCTCCATTAAGGCCCATTTATTTCAACAGACAGATTGAGTTAAAACCTCCAGGGTTTTTTATGGTGTACTTTCATTGCCTGTTTTGCTCTGTTGTGACAGGGGGAGGATGGAGAGTTTAACGGCTCACGCAGAGGGAGAGCAGGACTCAGCAGGTCCCACACAGGTACAGTTCGTTACATCTAAATCTACAAAAACAAATATCAGACAAAAATATGCAGTTTTCCCTTCAGGTTTCAGTACTCTGTTCCAGACTGAGGTCCCAAGGATATGGATGTTTTTATGTTTCACATGTGTGTGTGTGTGTGTGTGTGTGTGTGTGTGTGTGTGTGTGTGTGTGTGTGTGTGTGTGTGTGTGTGTGTGTGTGTGTGTGTGTGTGTGTGTGTGTGTGTGTGTGTGTGTGTGTGTGTGTGTGTGTGTGTGTGTGTGTGTGTGTGTGTGTGTGTGTGTGTGTGTGTGTGTGTGTGTGTGAATCTAAGTTACCGCTGTGGGAACTATAAATGGGAAAACAAGTAAATGACAGAACGTTTTTTTTAATAAAGTGATGTATTTTTAACAAAGTGATGTATTATAACATATTAACATATTAGCGCTGCATAATATATTGTTTTTTGAAATCATAATTGCATTATTAATATAAGCAAGAAAAACATTAAAGACGACAATCATTTATTTTGTTTGTCCATATCAGTGGTTCTCAAACTTTTTCTGTCAGGCCCCCCCTTTGGAGAAAAAAAAGAGTCGGGCCCCCCCAACACAAATAGTCAAGTAATGGGCCAAGTTAACATTTATTAAAATACATCAATATGAATGTGAGCATTCCTTTCAAAAAAATAAAAGATAACTTTTTCTACTGCAACGATCCCCACGCAAATACACAGTGTACCTGTGACTGTTACAATGAAGGCTCGATAATCAGCTCAGGGCATATAGATGTAAGCAGGGGTAGAGTGCTATTTTTATAAGTGGGGAGTGGACCTAACATAGGAGGGTCCGGGGGCATGCTCCCCCGGGAAGATTTGTTTTTTAAATATTGAAGTTAAAAGCATCAATCTGGTGCACTTTGAGAGCAAAATGAAGAGATCTATGGATACCTCTCTCAACACCAATTTGAAACAGAACTGTAAACAGATTTACTTTTTCTTTATGGATATTTTACAAATCACTCCCCTTTTAAACTTTATTCTTTTTTTACTGTCATATAGTATTTCAAACCTGTTTTTCATTTATTCTCTTATTTTTTTATAACTATAATGATCATATAAACGTGTGCCTCGGAAATAATTGTTTACATTAATGGTGACCAAAACGTTTGAGACCCACTGAGATAACTTAGACTAAAGTTAACTATCTAAACACTGAGAGAGTCCTTTAGTTCACTGAGCCTCTCACTCTGACAGGAGAGGACTCTCTTTCACCTTGTTGTTGAAAAAAGCTCCTTATATCCGTTAGCGTAGCTCGCTAGCACCAGAAGCTAACAACAACGATCTCCGGTACCGGTGCGCTCTCTCTCTCTCTCGCTCGCGCACACACACAAAATGGCTCGTTCCACACACACACAGAGCCAAGCTTGAATGAAACACAGAGACCCAGATGTACTTGTACTGTACTGTACTGTAGCATATTATTTTCGAATCAATAATCTTTCAAATTATGATTTATTATTTTTTTTTTTAAAACATTTTTTCTCCTGGTCTCTCGCGCCCCCCCTGTCATGCCTCTGCGCCCCCCACTTTGAGAAACACTGGTCTAAAGAGAGGAGTACAATCAGCAATTTTAAATAAGCCATCCCTTATTTTGATTTCACTTCAATTTCTTCCAAAAATATTTTGTACAAATAATCTCCTTAAATATTTGTTTTAATTCAACAAACAAGTTGTTGTTTTGGCAGTATTGTCAAGCAGCAGAAAAATAGAACTGATTTAATTTGTGTTTCTTTATCCAAAGTAAAATCGCTATCGTTATATTTATAACTTTATACATTATATTAATATATTCATAGCCTATTTTCCCAATATGTTTAAGCCCTAATCAATAAACAGTTGTGCTGACCCAGGCCTTTGTCTTCTCTAATGCTGTCAGTATTCATTCACGAAACACAGGCTTAAAATATATGAGATTGTCGCTTGTCTCACTCCACCTCCTGACCTTTGACCTTGACATTTATAGCATTCTGACTTACACTGCAGCTCTCCTCTCTTGCAGTGTGCTCCATGAGCCCGAGGCCTGTCCTGCAGGACGCATCAGTCCCAGCAGCTTCAGCTCAGACCAGAGGACGAGTGGATCCGGACTCTGAAGCTTTCAGAGAGGAGCACATCTCTCCAGAACAACATGAAGCACCTGCGGAGAGAGCCGCGAGGAAACAACTCAGCTTTGTTTTGGAGAGCGAGAAGCAGCCATGAAGGCAGAATGTGACAAAGAAGACATTTAAAATGGATCAAAATGGCTCCATAAAGTGATAATGACCTCATATGTATTTATCCATAGAGTTGTGGGATTTAAAGGTTGATAAAAGGTTTAGCATTTTCATGGATACCTTCACATTAAAACTTTTAAAATGCAGCGAATAATTATTGGTTTTATCATTTTAAGCTCAAACAAATCCTTCTAAGCTCTCACCTCATGAACACCTTTGCCAGAGGTTTGTGGGTCATTTGCATCTGTAGTCTAATTCGTTTTCAAAGTTACGCTTACAGGTTAACAACTACCTTAGAAATACGTTGGCTCATACTGGCTGTCTACATTATAAGCACATGCACAAACCAATCCTGCCTCTTCTTGTTTCCTTCATAAATGCGAAGCACACCCACTGGTAATTTGACGAGGACAGGCTTACTGCTTCCTAAAATAACTCCTGTCCCCCTGTCTGACCTCCTCAGTTACTGGTGCTGCTTTCCCCCACAGCTCCCAGTATGCCAGGGAGTGGCAGACTGTTTGTGTTTGAGATTTAAGGGTCTGGGCAGAGGGCTGCAGAGTGGACACCAGAGAGGAGCTGAGGAGAATCAGACTGAAAGCTGGGGTTAAAGAGCAGTGAAGGACTTTTATACTGGAGTTATGAGGGTGGGACCTGCAACCTTGGCTGGGGGGATATTTGGGGTAGTGGGGACATTGTGTTTCTTCATTGCCTTCACTACGGACTACTGGCTGGTGGCCAGTGACAACTGTGGACCGTATACATGGCCGACACAAACAAGACTGACAACAGATGCCAATGGGACTGAGGTAGGACGGAAACATGTGTGCACATATTGGATATTCACTAACTCAATTAGATATTCATGAATGGAAACCTCACTGCTCGCTGTCAGAATTAGTCAGTGAGCTCCAACTGAACAAATGCACATAATAATAGTCACAACATCACATGCAAGAACCACAAAAAGACCAATGTGGAATCTGATTTGACCGTGGTGTGCACGCTATATCACAAAGGGATATTTAAAGAGGTACCAAAATAATTTGGAAATGCCCTTTTGTAAAGTTAGAGGACTTAAAGGCACAGGGAATGGATTTCCCTATCAACAAATATGTAGAAACTCATAGATGGATAGGTTTATACTTTATTCATCCCAAGCTGGAGAATTGTTCAAGGATTCTGCCTTCAACCCATCCTTGTATTAGCAGCAGTGGGCAGCTACTGTATTATGTACAGCGCCCGGGAGGCAGTGTAGGGGCGGTGCCTTGCTCATTGGCACCACGGCAGGACTTGGTCGTTCCAGAACTTGACCCGGCAACCTTCTGACTTCAATGCCAAAACCTAATTAAAAGATTAAGCATCTCTTATGAGCCCTTACAAGTTAGTGGTGATGTCTGTATGCGCAGCTCTTTACCTAGATTTTCAATATGTTTTCCTTTTGTTGTGTTTCTGGTGTCAACCGCTACAAAAATGCAGCCACCAGGCGTCACATGGTAGAAGAAAGTTACAAAAAAGGCAGAAAAAAGGTTGCAAGAACGGAATTATAGGCAAAATGCCAAGCGAACATACTGTAGCTCATCATGGCTTTTATCCGTTGGCGAGCATAGTTACTTTTGGTTTGGCAAGTGTAGGGCAGTGTCTTCGGAGCTTGTCAATGTCTCTATAAAATCCCGTTGTTTTCAAGGCTTTTAAAATATGGCTTTATAGGACACACTTCGATCATAATGATACAAGATTTTATTTTCACAGCAGTCTTACGAAGTTGTACATTAGATGAATTTAGCATGTTAGCATTCTAGCATTTGCTAATTAGCATTAAACAGAAGGTGCAGCTAAGAAATTATGAGATTGTAATTCGTTTGATGACTTCATCTGAGTTATTTTCTCCAACAATCACACAGCTGTTTTCACATGCAGTGTAGTACTGAAAGACCTACATGTGTAAACTCAGCAGAGAGCCCCTGTAATTTCCCAGTCTGTTCAGCCATGCAACATTCTGAGAAAGTTCACAAAATGCAAAGTAAGAGATATTTATAAAAAGCTAATCCCTTGTTGAACTCCTCCCTAACTCTGCAGCACAACTAAGTCTTTCATTTTAAATAAAAGAGGATGATTTAAGTTGCTGTGCGTTATTCAGCACCATCAATCATTCTTTTGACAAGCAAATGGAGAGTATCACTCATGCGTGTTTCATGAGTTCCCCTCAAAAACCTCACAGACGACGGCAGGCCATAATCAGAACCACGTTTGATGCCGTGCCCCTGCTGAAGTGCTGAGTCACTAACAGAGAAGTGTTGACAAATCTGACACACATTACGTTTTCAGACATTTCAGTAACCATCTCTGTGTTTGTGTGCTGATGTCTCTTCTTTCTTTTAGATCGAGATAGTGGAGGCAGTCACTGTTTCTCCTCCACCTCTCACTCTGCACCACGAGGGCTTCTTCTGGCGGTGTGTGTTTCAGGTGGAGCCCTTGGCGAGCGCACACCTGGCCATTCTCTTCAGTATGTATGCCTTCTAACAAGGCGACAAACATTTTTGGTTAGGGCTCGTTCAATGTGTTTGCACTGTGCTAAGCAGTGTGGTCTGCTTGACATGCAACAAGTGCAGGAAAGAAAAATGTGTATAATTTTGATATTGGACAGAAAATATACAGGAGAACTAGAAGAATGTGTTGGCATCTATTTAAGTGTGTGGACTATTTTAGCTCTTGTGTGTTTAAACACTCTATAGTGGTTCTTCAAGAGTTTTCTTTTTACTTTTTCAGCCAACCAGCCAGAATCCAAGGTGTGTATCCATGGTTACCTCTTTCCCCTGCCTGTTGCAGTTGGACAGGTGCCTCATCCAAGTTATGATGCGACAGCAGGTAACACACTCACACATACATATGCTTTCAACATAAATTGAAGGTGGGAATGTTTCCAGTTTAAATGTCTTACTTCGGACCTCAAAGTGTTTCAAGTGCGTGGCACCAAACATAAACAGAAAACCTGGCTAATGTTTTGTTTGCAACACAACTCATCTGAACTATCAGCAGTATGTCCTCTACATTTAATTTGGATACTGTAATGCAGGGAAGCTATGGATATGTCTAAGGCATTTATTGTGTAAGGGAGATTGCGACCCGGAAGCTGACAAATATAGAACTATACCAGCTCAAGTCTTTATGCTATGCTAGCCCATCTCCTGAATGCAAAGAATCAATAACTATGCCATATAGATAGATACATTACTTATTTTTGATGGTGACCTGGTTTTATTTCTTGCAGTGTTTCGGGGTTTCTGGACCTTGCTGATAATCTTTGGCCTGGTCGCTGCTCTAACTGGAGGCTTCCTGTTGGTCTGCGGCGTCCCCTTCTTCAGCCACAAACTCTACAAAGTGGGCGGTGCCTTCCTCATCGCTGCTGGTAAAACATTGTCTTTGTACATCAATCAATCAATCACAACACTTTATTAATCCCAGAGGGAAATTAGGTTTTGTGACTGTTGCATTTTAATCTTTAAAATATAATAAATAAACATTGTTGATGGAAACGTTGTTTATGTAAACATAGCACGAGCAGTCCAGAATCCATTGATGGAAATGTTGTCCTCTGATACATGTTTTCATAAAACACAGTTCAGATATTCTCCTGCTAGCTAATGCAGTTAGCTCGTCCATTCCATTAGCCAGTGATCTTTGACGTGGCCCATGATGAAAGGCGGGAAACAACTTATATCTCCTTATGTCCATAAATCTGGACCCAGCTCTCCTCCTTCTTTGCCTGAATCTGAATCCTTCAGATTTCAGTGGGGGTAGCCGTTGTATCGACTGCTATGCTAGCCCTATGCTATCAGCTGTCCCTGGTGTAAACAAGGCGTTTATGGAAAAAAAGACCTTCTCTACAAGAAAGTTTAAAGATGGCACAGCTTAATAAGTTACTATGGAAGTTAATAATAGAAAAATTACAATTTAGATCAAATAATACAACTAAACGTTTAAAGTAGTACAAACCTCCAACAACCTCACAGGAGCAACTGCAACAGGCTGCTTTCACATTTGGCAGATGCACCCTGGAGTACATGTGGGGAGATATAACCATGGTATCTATCTGCAGTGTGAAATATGCTGCTAGGGGAATAGGTGAATGCACAGACACTTACACATGTCTCAGTCATCCTGCTGTCAGCTGTTGATTTCGTTCACATGACAAACACCAACACACAGAGCAGCAGATGTCTACTGTCGCTATAACAACAGCGGGTTTATACACTGCTACCGTGGTAACATTAGAGATGAGTAGGAGCTGCATTCCTCTGGTGTTACTCACAAGAGTGATATCTGTGTTTCTCTAAAACTTCTCCAGCCCTCTTGTTCCTGCTCCTGCTGCTGCTCTACGTGCTGTGGATGGAGGTGATGGACGTGAAGCGCTACGTCCTGCAGGAGAGGGGGGAGACGTGTCCCGATGCTCAGGTGTCTGTGCTCTACGGCCTGTCGTTCATGGTGGCTGCCGCCGGCGTTCCTCTGGTGCTCGTCTCTGGGATGGTCTTCATGCTGGTGGGCCGTGCGCTGAGAGGCAGCAAGTGAGCCTGCCATCTGGCCTGCAGCGGAAGAAAGGACTGACCTTTTTATCTGGTGCACTGGGACACAGCAGCACTGTCATGGGATGTTAAACTGGCTGGAAACACGTGATCAATATTGCAGTACAGTAGCACCCTTTGGATGTCAAAACAGTCAGAGACACGACTTTTCTGTTTTCTATAACTTACTTTGCTTTATTTATATGAGAAAAATATTAATTTCTAAGAACATTAATTTCACAACAAGTCAGTGTTAGAGGGTTATTCAGATTAGCTGAAAAATGTAAAGCAACTGTTCTCAACTTTAAATCTTGCCTCATCCTATAACAGTAATGCAAAGTTGTTACAATATGATTAACCAATCGTCAACTGGGTCCACAGTCTAAACTAAGAAAAGTCAGCTACCTACTTACTAACAGCAGGGCAGGAATACCACAAACTCAACCAAACTGCTATCAGGGTTAGGGTTAAGCTGCATTCACTTGATAAGCTGTAAAACGGCTCTGCGCTGATGCTGCTGTTGTGTTTTTATGGTGCTCTGACCCCATTTACCACTGACCTTTCGCCACGCAGCCAAACAGATGACAGCTGAATAAAGCGACACAAGCGAGCAGGGTTAGTAACCGTAGAAACAAAAGTTAACCAGCTGTCATCAACCCCAACCTCGCGGTGAGCAAAAAACAAATCGCGTTTCACGTGACTGCAGCTTTAGGGTTAGCCTGCCACATAGAAAAACATGTATTAGTGCCATTTGGAATGTTTTTAGCATGGTTTGTTCGTTAAAAAACTGTTAGATGTCACTTGATAGTTCGAGGTTTCACTTGTTTAATGCTTTTCAACTCACTTTCTTTGCCGCCAAACATTTTAGCTTGAATGGGTGCTTTGGGTGGTGATAAAGGTCGCTCACCAAGAGTTTTAGCTATTTTTGTATTTTTGTTTCACTGATAAGCCCTCTGGCAACTCAACTTGTTTTTTCTCTAATATTGAACTCAGTGAAGACTACACTCTTCTGTAACTCACTATTATTTCTCATGGAACAAGTGTTATAACAAGACAGGACGGACCATTGGTAGTCAGTTAGCAGTAGATATCTCTTCAACACAATACATTGACTTATTGGACATAACGTCAAAACTGTTACTTCTTCACATTCTGTTTTCTTTTTCACTGTTTTTAAGTGAAATTCTGGACATTTCTTGGACATTGTACCTTTAAGGAGCAATATAATAATGTAACAACATTGTGTTGTATACATATATTCCTTCCACCGCTGTCATTGTACAGATGGATGTTTTTTTCATTATTGCTGCAAATGTCCAAACAGCTGAAGGTGAGAAATGTATGGCTGAACCAGCTGTGTCTCCTGTCCTGATTTTGGAACATGATCAAAGTAGGCTAGCTGGAGCGGGGTGAGGTGGGAGGGAGGGATGGCTGGATGGACTGGGGACAGAAATGGTGGCTTTAGAGGGTGGGGGTGGGGGTATTGCAGGAGAGGGATGTATATGGGGGGATAGAGAGAGAATTGATGCTTGTAGGGGGACACAAGGGGGCTTTTGAGAAATGAACAGCTGTTTGTGGGTTTGGTCGGTGTACAGCAGGCCGGCCACCTGCCTCCTTCACACCAGTCACATTTCACTCCCCCATCGAAATCCTCTTGCATTCTCTTGTCTGTCTCGTTCTGTTTCATTTATCTGTCTCAACCTACACTAACTTTTCATTCAGAATTTAAGAAACCCATTTATTGACACACATCGATTGCAAACAGAGACAGAATGACCCACACCCTTAAATGGTAAGTGCAGACTTGTGATTGTATCAGCAATATTAGATGATGCTTCCTTTTCATTGGTCTGAATTGGCAGAAGTAGGCGGATGGACTCTATCTATCACACATATCAGCTTTCATCCGCGCTACTGGGAGCAAGAGTGGCCAAGAGAGAGGGGGCATGTTTGCTTCAAAGACCTCGCTGATCAAACACATAAACACACACACACACACACACACACACACACACACACGCTGTGATCAAACTGTCCACAACACCAAGTTTAATTATGAATATATAGCCTACTGCTGACACTAGATCTGACTTGTAAGACATTGTACATCCGAGTGTAATTCTGTAATATAGCCACCAAATGCTAAAGGTCAACTGGGTCTTCTGTGTCACCTGTGATGTCAGCGTGTTCATTTTGGTACATTGTGGTTCTAGACATTTTTGTTATCTGTGTTTAACATGTGTTTTTACATCTGTTATGATCATTTCCGCACAATACATGTTAACCTTTTCACGACACTTGTCTAAATCTGAATTTTTGCTGCCTTGCCAGCCATAGAGACTTTGGAAGAATAGTTTTAAAATCGAAAATGCTTTCATGATTAAGTATGGTCATACATAAAATCTGACTAACTAAACAAATATACAATAAAGGTTTATAAACCTCTGAAACAGAACATTTTCAGCTCCTCTGTTGTTTTACTAGTGGTAATTCTCATTTCTGAGTTCAGTTGAATCTGATGACAACTTTAACCACAAGAAATATATTTCCTACTGTGATATGGAAGCATAATGACAGTAAAATAGATTAAAAAGGAAAGATACCAGAAAAAGACAATCTTTCTAAAACGGAGGCAAGCAATTTGAAATAGTAGCAGAGCTCATGGAGGAGTCGGACAAATCTGCACAATTTAAAGAGAACGTAAGGGGAAACCAATAAGCATTATACCAAGGACTGTAATCACTTTCTCTATATGTCCAGCACTTATGTCAGTATCCTGAAACAATGGAGTTACATACAAATATGTAAAATGTTAGTGACATGTGGTTTTAGGTTCATTTAAATTGCATGTAAACACTCAACATGTCTTCTTTGTTGTGTGTCCCAGTTACCGATCCACTGTGAAAGGTTTTCATTAAAACACTATTTACAGAAGGACTTGTTCTTATTTGTTGACAGCAATATTTGGATTATTAAACCAAAGGATTTGATATGGAAGATAAAATCACTGTTTTTCATATTGTACAATGTTTTGAACAGAAAAAACACAATTGATTGCATATCTGTTGTTTTGGGGTGGCAGCAGAGACAAGTATCTCAAAATCTTAAAGATGACACTGTATCAATGGCTAGATAATATTGAGTTCTATTTCGTCCCTACTGACCGCCAGAGGCGGTGCTTTAACACTGGATATGTCCATCACGCGCATGCGCAGCTCGAGTACCAATAACAACAAAGTCACCTGTGACCCACGTGACACCGGCTATACCGGCCGGTGTCGTCAGAGGATCTGTTCCCTTTTCGTCTTCTCGCTGCGCGAGAGTACCGTGGCTACATTTTTGTAGCATACAGCGTTCGTTCAGTTGGAACATTTGTTCAAGGATTCTCTGCAAACAGCTGGCTGCGTGCAGCTTCGCGACTCATCCAGTCGGAGCCGCGGGCTTACCCGTCCTCCAGGAGCTGTGGCTGGCTGCGCAGAGACTTCGTTCGGACAGGTTGGTGTCGGCTTGGTTGGTGATAGCAGTGTTTCCGCTCCCTCTCCCAGCCAAGTTGTCCTGATTACTGTCTGTTTGCTTTTTGGGCTTGAATTTCTTTGGTGACGGTGGCGTTCCGCTCCCTCTCCCAGGGGTTGCCCTTGCTGTGCTTTTGCACTTGTTCTGACCGCGGCGTTGTGCCAAGCAATATTAGCATTTTGAGTTTCCAGCTTTAGCTGTGTTTCTTGTTTGACTAGTTAGCAGTAGCGGCTGCAGCCACTCGGCTGACGCTGGGATAAGCACCGGAGTTTCCCGTGCTGTTTTTTCTTTAGAAGCCAGTTTCTGGTCTTAGCTTTGTGTTAAAGCTTCTTTATTTTACCCAGCTAGGTGAAGGCAGTGTTCTCGCTCCCGCTCCCTCTGCCGGTAACGTGGGTGTAGCTACATCCCTTTTTCTGTTCGGCGAGTAGCAGCACCGCTCTACTCTTTCCGTTAAGCAGGTAGCTGGTGAAGGCTGTGTTCCGCACCCGCTCCCGACTACGCTGCATCTGGCTACCTACAGAATGGCTCATTGATGTAGCGCCTGTATGGCTTCTCTTGAGCCCAAGGACGGCCATGACCGCTGCCCCTCTTGCCTCGGCCTCGAGCATCTAAGGGAGGCTCTCACGGTAAGCGCCTGCATGAACTGTAGCTGCATGCCTCGGGCGCTCAGAGTGGCTAGAATCACTGAGGTGGAACGTCTGGCAGCAGCCAACGGACACCTCTCCTTGTCACATCCTCCTCCAGATCAGTTCGGCCGTTCCCGGCGACTTGAGGGAGCGATGGCTATGGGTGCACCCCCCAATAGGAGGACTAGAAACAGGCTGTCCTCTAAAGTGGATCAGCTAACAGCCGACATGGACATGATGAAGTCGCTCCTCTTGGCCCTTCAGCCAGGGCCCGGTATAGGGGCTGCTAGCGTGCCGCCTGCCCCTCCTTCGGTTGCCGCCCCTCCTTTGGTTGCCGCCCCTCCTTCGGTTGCCACACCTCTGTATGAGGATGCCTTGTCGCTAGCGGCTTCGGCTAACCTCTTCAATGAAGAGACGGAGGACGAGGTCCCGCTCGAGGAGGCTTCCCTCTCCTCTGCTCAGGGTTCTCTGCAGGGCGTGGAGGACGGCTCCATGGCGGCCATTATTCGTACAGCTCTGGCGCACTTGCAGATTCCGGTTCCGCAGGCCGACTTGGCTCAGGCTAGCGCCTTCTTCAGGCGTAGCCCTGCCCCTGTCCCCCTCACCGTTCCTCCTTCAGAGGAGTACCTGAGGGAGCTCCATGCATGCTGGAGGGACACCAGGGCCCTCTGCCACGCTGGCTCTGATGCCCGGACCTTGGCTGCCATGCAGGATCCGGCGAGGGTGGGGCTGGGTGGCATGCCACCCATTGAGCCTGCCACCGCCTCCCTGATTCTGGCTCCTGACGAGGCTCTAAGGCCTGAGGTCAGGTGCCCTCGGCCTCAGTGCAGGGTCACAGACGGGCTGCTCTGTAGGGCCTACGACGCAGCGGCACGCATGGGTCGTATCGGGAACTCCCTCTCCCATCTAATGCTGGCTGTCTCCACCTCTCTGCAGCAGGCTCCGGCCGAGCCTTCTTTGCTGGGCCTCAGGCCTTTGCCCTAATGGCTAGGGAATTGGGACGAGTTATGTCCTTTCTGGTACAGACTCGTCGCCAGGTTTGGCTGGCCCAGTCACCACTAACGGAGACATGAAGGAGAGTCCTCCGTAGCGTGCCAGTCGAGCCAGGGGAGCTGTTTGGGACAGCTGCCCTGGAGGCACTGGAGCGTGCTGCCCAAGCTAGGCAGACCAGGCAGCAGCTCTCGGGTCTTCGCAGACCTGTGCCCGCTCCCAGCGGGTCCCAGGTCGCCTGCCTTCCAGGCGGCCTCGTGCCTCAGAGCCTTACCGGCGCCCCCCAAGGGACTCCAGGGGCCGGGGGGCTAGGCACTGAAGTCCCGGGGCCGGTCGTCGGCTGCTTTTCCCAGCAGCAGCTCAGCTACTGGGCTGCCTGTACTTCCGACCCTTGGGTGGTTTCCACCCTAACCCAGGGATACAAATTGCAGTTCCGACGCCGGCCCCTAGCCTTCGGCCGGGTCAGAATGACAGTTGTCAGCGATCCGGCGAAGGCCTTAGCTCTGGCCCAAGAGTTGTCCGTCCTCTTGGCCAAGGGCGCAATCGAGCCAGTGGACCCTCTGCTTCAGTCCGGGGGGTTTTACTCTGCGTTCTTTCTTGTGAGCAAGAAAGTCGGCGGATTCCGTCCAGTTCTGGACCTCAGAGGAATCAACAGATTCCTGAAGGTACTGCCCTTCCATATGCTAACCACAGCAGACACCCTTCGTGTTGTCGCACAGGGGGAGTGGTTCGCAACCGTGGACTTGAGGGACGCCTACTTCCACGTGCCAATTGCATCCCATCACCGGAAGTTCTTGAGGTTCGCCTTTCAGGGCCGACATTATCAGTTCCGGGTGCTTCCCTTTGGTCTCTCCCTCTCTCCAAGGGTGTTCACCAGGGTCGTTGCGGCAGAGCTCGCTCCCCTGCAGGCACAGGGCGTGAAGGTCCTGCCGTATCTAGACGACTGGCTGGTTTGTGCGCCGTCCCGGCCCCAAGTGGCCCAGGATACGGCACGCCTCTTATCCCACGTAGCCCGGTTGGGCCTAACAGTAAACACCGGGAAGAGTTGCCTGGACCCTTCCCAACAGGTCACTTACCTGGGGATAGTCCTAGATTCGGTCGCCATGAGGGCCTACCTGACACCTCGTCGTGTGGACAACATTTCCCACCATCTTCCCATCTTCAGACTGGGCAAGAGGGTGCCTTACATCCAGTTCCTCCGGCTCTTAGGCAGACTGATGGCTGCCTCAGCCGTTGTGCCCTTAGGC